CTTGTACGTGTACACATTTGTGCAAGTGCAATGCAACACATGAAACTTCAGTCATCTGTGATTTATATGTTTACCTTTTAAAAATATGCAGAATGGTGAATATTATCATCTCTTTTTTTTTTACCTCGATCATTAACAAAAGGCTGATTTCTCCACGCATTAGAAAATGTTGTATGCAGACAGATGATACTCTGTGTAATACTGTGTGTGTAACATTAATACAACAGAGTCACAAACATGGCTTTTTATACAACTGCAGTACATCTAGAGAATTTAGCAGCTTGTTAAGGAATCCACATCAAGTTATGTTTTTAGGACTGGACTCAAATATTGTGATTTCATTTGATGTCTGGTAGCTCTGATGTCATGCAAAGTAACTGGAATATTTTTAACTGTATTTCAAAATGTGAGTAGTGTTTTTTTTTCCTTACATTCTTCAAGGTGCCTTGGGGAATGCCTTGCAGCTTTAAGCTGGTTCAGTCTTCGGGACCAGGAAACTGAAAGAAGAGAAGAGAAGCTGGAACTCATTGGGGTTGCCCCTTCTCCATCCCTCTGGGTTGAGCATGGTTAGTCTGGGCTGGAGCAATAGAAAGAAAAGGAGGAACTGGCAATCCTTCTTAGCAGAGATGGTGCGGTGCCCAGGCGAGTGAGAGGGGAGGTCATTGGAGGGGAGCTTTGCTTTGCAGGTGCTTTGGGGAACAGCTGGTATTTGAACAGCTACTTTGAAAAGTCAGGTCAAATGACATAGAGCATGGTCATGACAGTGCTGTTTGTGAAATGCTAAAACCGTGTCCATAAACAGTGCACACCTATATAAACATTTTTAAGTTAAGTTTCTTCCTTGGCACTGTTGGGCATCTTGCTATAAAAAGAAGATTGCCACAAATGAATCCAGATTTCAGCAACATCCTCAAGTCCCAGGATAGTGCTGGAGCATCTGTAAATGCTTCACTGACCTAGAACCAGTTGTGATAAAAATCCTCAAGCTTGGTGATGTTCCAGAAACCAGAACATATTGTAATTTTGTAGCTCATGTTGGAAGAGAAGTGTGACAGGAGATACACAAAAGTTGCAAACTGCAGTGGCTTAGTTCATGGTGTCTAATATGGTCCTAATTAAAGTTGTGTTCTAGCAGAAGCTTGTCTAGTCAAGCAGAGATTCTAGTTCCTGTGCACCTTTCTCCCAGTGGAACAAAAAGACTAAGTACATATTAGCAATAAGTAGATTACTGAACAATGGCTAGAAATGTTCAGTTTGCAATGTGGAAGCATGTTGCCATGCCGTGCAAGCAGGTGGCATCTGTGGAGGTGGCACCTGAACCCTCTCAGAGGCTGGGACTTAGCTGTTTGTGAACATTTGCATATGTGATCACGGGAGAGTCTCCTGAATTGACAGGGTATTTTTTTTTTATAAGGAGCTATTTGGAAGGAAGTATGTGTTGTATGATGTAACTCTTGATTCAGTCTGAACGGACAACAGCTTTTCAATCTCAGGCGCAGGATCCTGGGAGGCCCATCATGAGGCCTTGGGTGATACGGTTTAGAGCAAGGTGTCCGTGCCCATGGCAATGGGGTTGGAACTTGATGATCTTAAGGTCCTTTCCAACCCTAACTATTCTATGATTCTATGATTCTATGATAACTATCCTGCATGACTGGTCAGTGTGCTTGTTTGGGCTGTCTCTTTACATAAACTTTGTAATACCATTATTGGTATTGTCATAGGGTACCATTAGTTTATAATACATTACTGAAAGGGCCTATTGAAAAGCTAAGCATAGTTGGTGTAAATACTTTTAAATAAAATCTAGGGAATAGTTTAAGTTATGCAAAGCTTGGCCATTTTAAAGAGAGGTATGAGTCTTTTGATGAATAGGAAATGTGTTAAGAAATTCTTATTAATTATTAATGTATTGAAAAAGGAGCTAGAAAGATTAATATTTTATATCACAGAGATATATTTATATAAAATAATTTTGTAGTTGTTAGCTGGTTACAGTATGGCTTCAAACAGTCTACAGAAACAAGTGAATCCTCCTTTATCTCAAATATAATTAGCCATTTAAATGTCTTGGGTCAATTTATTAACACTTTATTCATCAGGGTGTAACTTTTATTAGGCTTTATTGCTATCAGAAATTATATCCTACACAAATACAATAGAGATTTAAATGTTCTGTAGAATGAGCCAATGCTTCCTGACTTTATTGCACAGTATTGTAATGAACCTTGACCAGCTATAGATTTGATAAGTGTAAAATATTACTGCTTGCTGCTAATTTTGTTCCTTTTTAATGACTGATAATCCATGTCGATTTAGTGTGATAGTCACAATCCAATACTGTTTTCCTGCTATAAATGTGATTGTAACAGGAGCTATTAAGTGTGTCTGCATAATAAAATTAGTCAGGGAAGCTCTGTATATTGTTTCCAGGTCTTTGAATTTTCATTATAGTAGTGGAACTTGTTAGACTGTAAAGGCTGATCATTGCCAGCTCAGGCAGGCGCTTTTCTACTTCTCTGCCAAGCAAAGGGTAATGATGCTGCACTAAGAAGTCTGTTCTCACTGTTCTGGAACATTCTTCATACATAAACATAGGGTATCATTTTGGGGAGAGTATGAAAGGTGTCATAGGGGCTGAAGAGAGGAAATTCATCTGGGCAGCAAAGTATTACTACTGTGTGGAGACAAACTTGGCGGCTGTCTGTCTAACTGGGAGAGGTAGTCATGACATCTCTCAGTAATACTGCAACACTGATAAATCAAATGATCGTATTCCTCAGAGTGCCAAAGTGTATGACAGGATCCTAGGGAGGAAACCTAGCAGGGCCTCTCCTTTCCTGTAACACTCTGTCCAGCAGGATATTGCACCTCTAGATACTGAACTCTTCCATTAGAGTAACTGTAACAAACACATCCTTGAGACTTGCTTTTGGTCTTGTTTGATCTCGCCCAGTCTGAAGACCTCTGTTTTAGTTCTTGGGCTTCTAAGTTTGAAGCAGGCATACTTATGTAAGAATGGGTGAAATCCCAACCATGAGAATAATCCACAAGCAGATGCAGCAGCTTAATATAGATATTTTAAATTTATTTATTTATTTTAGTGAATAGTTCTGTGATCTCTACTGATACCTTGGCAGAATAGTAACAAAAAGCTGTACACTGAGCTGTGCTGACCATTGGGAAAGAACAGGAACTGCTTTTGCACATACACTGAGATTGTTTGATAAACATTGGCTTTTATTAGCAGTTTACATGGGGCAATTTATAACTTTATTCTCACAGAATAATACTTTATAGCTTTCAATACAAGGTAGGAATAAATCTAAGGATTTGTAACCTCCTACATGATTTATTTCCAGTATTTCCCCCAACACTTGGAAAAGCTCCCCAAGGAAAAAAGAATGCAAAAAGCGAGCTGACAAGTGTAACTGTTTTAGCCTCAATTTAGTGTGGCATCTTTGCATTTTGGCCTCACAGTAGAAGCTGAGGCCCTTCTGACTTGGAGTTTATTCTTACAGGGAGCTTTGAATAATTCAAAGACAGCGTGATGACATTTAGTCTTGATATGTAGGGGAGCATTCAGATGTTCTTCCCGTATGCCAGCAGTTTCTGTGACGGCTTTCAATGCATAGTGTAACACAACAAAACTGTGATATCAATTTAGGATCAGCCTTTCTGCAGAGATCTTCAGGCTGCCAGTAGGGATGAGATGTACTCCTTTGTGGAGGACTTCTCAAGTGTTTCTAGGATTCAAAGGGGTTTCTGCTTTGCTGGCTCAATTCTCTGTCCAGCACTACTGGCATGAGGCTCTGTGCTGCAGTTCCGGGGAATTCTGGCTCCTACAGAGCTGCTTCTTGCTGGAGGACAAAACGCAGAGAGCCTAGTCAAGATGTAGTAGGCACCTGAAATCTGGCTAGCATCAGTGGGAGGTGAAGAGGGTAGTCAGTGTCCCTGCACATCAGTGCACCTATCTCCAATGGGGCTATTTCATCAGCATTCCTAGGGGACTTTGTGTGAGAAGCCAAATAACTGGCTCCTTTATGCCTCTAGAGCAAAACATATTTTGAGTGGGGAAAAGACATTCTCTCTGCTCAACGCCATAAAGAAAAGGGTCATAGTCACTTCACCAGTTTATAACCAGTTCAAGTAAGTGGAATAATTTCCTAGTGCCCTGTTCAATTCTTCGCCAGATGAAGATGTCCCGTATAGATTTAACTCTGGTCTTTTGCTCTAGCTCAGCAAGAACACTAATACAAAAGGTATTCCTTGCAAATAAACACTGGACAGACACAAAGAAACACTGTGTAAAACCTAAGCCATGCAATGAGCTTCAGAAAGATCGGATCCACAGATGTGCTGACTGAAGTTTAAGAGGCAACTTAACAGATGTACAAAGCTGTAGATCAGAGGGGATATAAAACAGTTAAACTTGCTTAAAGGCACAATGTGTCACAATCTAACGATTACATGCATCCTAAGCCCGACAGAAGAGGGAACATACGCTCAGCTATGTGCTCTTGGCTGTAGGCATGCCAAGAAGATTATAAAAATGCCATGCTGTGATATGTTGCCCTCCTGCCTGAAAGGCTACCATTAAGCTGCTTATTTACTGCACCTATTCAGGCAGCAGTGCGGTTCAGAGTGCTACCTGTCTTCTCGTTGGATAAATTAGTTGTGGATATCACAGGATTATTGCTGCCTATTGTCAGTCTGGTGAAGGTGGGAAGAGATGAAAGACACTGATCTGACCTTGTAATGTTTTGTGTAAAATAAGAGATGCTTTTTCTTCATAGTGTCACAGTTGATCTTGGTAGGGCTGATTGTGGTAGCAAGTTTGGAGCTAAATTAAAAAGCCTAACATACTAATGAAGGCAAAAATTTTGTCTCAGTCATATATCTATCTATCTATATGTATAAAGGGAGGAAGATGAAGGGGGGAAGGATATGCAGGTGTGGAGGGAAGTGTGTGTCACTAGAGCTTTGTACTCTCTTTCCAGCTTTGTAAATCAGCACTGTTTGAAATGAAAGCTTCAAGAGGACATACAGGAAAACTTGGCCACCCCTTCAACTCAACACAGGTTTTTATAGAAATTGTTTTGCCCTCATATTTTTCTGATATATGGAGCTGTGAACTTTAAATTACTGATAACAGCAATTGACAAGTACAGCATTAAAAACTAAACCATGCAGCCCTACAGGCTTAATTATGAAGTGAGCAGGAGGGTAGACACAGAAAATCCTGTCTCAAAATTTTACCTCACATAATATAAATAAAAGATTATGTCTTCCACTGGTAGGCTATAGATCAAAAAGATAATATGAAATGACTGCCCTGTGTTTATTTTGCCTTTATTATGTGTATACATAAACTATACATTTCTCATTTTCTTCTGTTTTCAGCTATACACAGAGACACTTAGATATAGATATAATTATTTATATGTAGCTATAAACGAGTACCTGTCATTGTTTTTACATGTTCATAAATCATTAGAAAGATGCTTTTTCACTGTAAAAATATAAAAATAGAAAATATTTTTGAGAAGCACTCTAATTGCTAATATGGTGAGTTTAAATGACAAATAACGTGATTGGAATTGATTTTAGAAATGGTAACTCTGAAGATAAGGGTGTTTTAGATGATCAGTAAGTATGAGACACTAGTAATGACAGTGTTCACTGCACAGATGTAATCATGTCATAATAGAGCCACGTATCTTCAACACTCAGGTACTAGTTGTGCCGAACTGATGAGTTTTATTGCTGTTTTAAACAATCTCTCCTTGTTAAGCTTGGACAAGGCATCAGAAGAGGGTTTTCTGTTTCCTGAGGAACCATGACTAACTTGAAACATTTTAAGTGGCTTAAGTGCAGCACATGGTTGTCCATAGGTTGAATTTTATTGTTAGCAATCAATAAATATGATTATGTTGCTGGTTACACCAAAACATGCCTGTAGGCCATGTCAGGATATCTGATGTGAAGATTGGAAATGGTCTGAATTTCCAGCTAAACATTTTTTATTACTGGCAACAGAGGAGGAGGAAAGAATCTGACAGAGACAGGCACAACTTTTTCTTTCATTGAGCTACTTGATGGTTTACAAATGCCAGTATAAAACCCTCCAGAACAGCAGCTGATGCACAGCCAATGCATCTTGTCACATTAAAAGGGGCTTTCTTGTGGCAGGAAATTAGGCTCACAGGAAGAGTCGAGAAATACACTACCTTTTATTAAGAGCTCATGAAAACTAAACTTAGCTATTTTTCCTTGTTGCATCTTGGACTATGCAGTGCCCTCAGTGATGGGATTGTCAGGACAGTGTCAGGCTGAAATATGCAGCATTGTTCTAACAACGTAGTGCCCTGCTTCCTTATTTACTTGCCCATAATTTAGGAGCATTTCATACAATGCTTAAGTATGTGCAGGTAGCCCTGAAAGCATCAGTTGGATGAAGGCTGAAGCTGAGCTTGTCTGATCCTGGCTTACAGCACTGAGCCCTCTTGAAGGGGTATTTTAACTGGCAATTATTGTATTTGATTATGATCAATCAGGATGAAAATTGACTTGACTTCTTAAAGTCTAAGTCTCTTTATATCATTATTAGCCCTGCATTTTCTTCTTTGTCCCTCCCTCTCAGGCTGCCTCCACCACATGCATTTGCTGGATAACGATAGCCCTTTGGAGAAATTAAAGGAAAATGTCTGTCCTGGTTTTGCTAACAGCCCTAAAATGAATTTAGTAGAGAAAACTGTCGTGGTTTAAACCCAGCTGGTAACTCAGAACCATGCAGACACTCGGTCACTCCCTTCTTCCCCCCAGCTCCCAGAGGGATGGAGAGGAGAATCGAAAGAATGTAAATTCCATGGCTGAGACCAGAACAGTCCAGTAACTGAGGTGTAACACAAACCGCTGCTGCTACCACCAATAACCATAATGATAAGGGAAATAACAAGGGGAGAGAATACAATTGCTCATGTGCCGACTGATACTCAGACAGACACAAGCAGCGATCCGGGCCTCCTAGGTAATCCCCCCAGTTTATATACTGGGCATGATGTGCTGTGGTATGGAATACCCCTTTGGCTAGTTTGGGTCAGGTGTCCTGTCTCTGCTTCCTCCCAGCTTCCTGTGCCCCTCACTGGCAGAGCATGAGACTGAAAAGTTCTTGATTGGAGTAAACATTACTTAGCAACAACTAAAAATACCAGTGTGTTATCAGCACTGTTCTCAGGCTAAAGCCAAAAACACAGCACTGCACCAGCTACTGAGAAGGAGAAAAATAACTGTTACAGCTAAACCCAGGACAGTATCCACCCCTTATTCCATACGATTCACCTCATGCTCAGATCCTATATATTTCAATATACCATCACTTTTTGTTTCATATATACATATATATATATATCTGTATCTCCACACAAAGAGAGAGATATCATTCCCATACAGTTGCTTTATTCATTCAGTCCATGATGTCAGGCTCTATCTCTTGTAACAGTCTTTCAAGGCAGGAGAGACTGTGTACAGTATTGGATTGTTGCCTGCTGACGACTCCACTGAACTTGTCTGGTCACTGCTGAGCTCATCTGGCTTCATCAAAGTTCATTCTTTGTTGGGATGATGGTTGGAGGGAAGTCAGGGCCAGTCAGTGGTGACCGGAGGACAGTTCTGCTGCCGTCAGCTTTTCCCAAGACTTTATTCTCCACTGATGATCATGACAGCACATATCTTCTTTTCAAAATCCAGAATGGCGGAGATGAGCATCTAGCTCATGTGCTATAAAAGTGCTACATAGCAGGCAACAGCATATAATTGAGTTCATTGGTTGTTTTCCCCCAAAATTAAATCCCCTTGAGGTACATGTTGGACTTCCCCATCTTCCCACATGACCCACCAAGTATATCCGGGTCCCTGAGCAAAAGCAGTCCCACGAGTGGGTTTGCCTTTACTTGAAGCAGGAATAATCCAGACTGTCTTCCCCAGCAAATTGTTTATGTGCACCACAGGAACTCTGTCCCCCTCTATGGTACATAACAGTTCTGACTGGGCTGGGCCAGCCCTGTTGGCAGATCCCCTGGTGTTGACTGTACTGCAGGCTGAAACTGGCAACATAAGGGTGAGTTACTTTTAGCCCAGTGGGCCCATGACACCTCAGGCCATCAAGGAAGAGATGCACCGTATAGATGAGCTTGTGATCAGGGGGTGGGCTTAACAATGGACACTATTGCCTAGGTTATTATAAAAACATGGTATTGTTTTGTCATTTTCCATTCTGTTTGAATTAGCTAATCTTTCCAAAATGTGTAAAATTAATGTTGCTTTGTCATGGTAGTACATGAGGATCAGAAAAAGAAGCAGCAGCGAAAGTGTCGACTGTAATGACCTTTATTCCTGCAAACACTGCTGGTCTGGAGCTAACACCAGTGCCTGTTACATGCTGGCACAGCCAGTTGGGGGTATCCCTTCCTGTCTGGAGTATAACGGTGCCTTCTCTCTGCAGTTGCCATTCTTCCCCAGTCTTTAATCTTTGGGGAGGATGATGTGGGAATAAGCACAGCTACATGACAGCAGATCTCCCACTTGTCTCTATGGTAATAGGACTCCACAGCCAAGTTATTAATTCCCTAAACCAGCTGCTGTACACCAGGCCTGTTTTGTGCAGACTGAAATGATGACACAGTTGTGAAAGCAGCTCATGTCACTTGTTCAGCTGCTCCAGGTAGAAGGCTTCTAAGCACTGCTGTATAGCTCGAATGCAGTTCAGAAATTCATAAAATCTGCTTGTTTCATGACAATGAATGAACAGTGCATAAATAAATCTCTGGAAATGATAAGATTTGACTTGCATTAGTACAGCTGTGTCTTTAGACATCACAGCTTTTCTTAGCTTCTCTTGGAAACTATGAATTTAAGGAGGTTATTTGGCTTAAATAAAAAGGAACAAAAGTCATGAAGAAGGTGGCATATGCACTTGTGTTATCTCTCATGGAAGGACCTAAATCACTGCATTTGCAATTAATGGTAATCACTGGCAAATCTGCCTTAAATGTGTAATTAATCCTAAGTGTGTAAGTAGTCTGAGTGATGTAAATGGAACTGCTCAGGCACTCATGCACCCACATGCACAAAATTAGTCAGGCACTTGGCTTCTCCAGTAGAGCTGAGTGGAAATGCAGAACTCTTCTGCTAAATTGCCATGGGCTCAAGAGAATCCTGCAGTTTAATTACCTGCAACCAGGGTTAAAGAGGAATGGAAATACCCTTTTGTGCCAGAGAAATCCATCCAGATGTCATTTGTAACGGCAGGAATGACTAACTCAAGGGAGCAAGCAGAGGTGAGATTTTGTTGCATGGCAGTTACTTGTAAAGCCAAACTAGGGTATTAGTGGAAGCCCAGGGTAGTTAGCCCAGGAGGAAGATGAGATTGTTCATTCAGATTTAGAGATGTCTTTCTGTTGGAAAGTGGGGAGGGGAAAATTACCTAGGTCACATCAATGAGAGTGGGAATCATCTGGGGAGGCTTCGAGTACTGCGACACTAGCCGGAAAGATTTAAGTAGACTTCTCATGTGTCCCAGTTGCCTGTGTTACCAACTGGCTGTGCATCCCCAGAGTAAAGGGTAGTGGAAATGGGGAAGGGTGGGAGAAGTCCCAGAGCTTTATAGACTAGAACAAAGTTAGAACTGGATCCTGTGAAAATTCAGGTTAATGAGTGAGCAGAAGGGTTAGGAAGTGTGGCTGGAAGTACTGCAGCACTGAATCCCAAACCTGCTAAATAAATTGCAAGAGCACAGATGCCAGCACTCTTTGTTTATTGTAACTGACTGAGGAAAATGCTTTCAGGAAGAAGAATATACTTGTTAAGGGGAAATAGTGATCAGCGATCAAAAACTGATTAAGAGGATGGGAATTTGGTGTTGGTTTGGTGTGTGATAATTCTACACAAATTTTGCCAAATTCTGCCAGCACTACCATGGCTAATTAAAGCATAACGTTATTGCTTTGTCACTGTATTTGACAGTTAAACCTGGAGACCATTTTTGTGCTATTGATACACTGTAGTAGCCATTACTTTCTAT